GGCACCCACATGAATGAAGCCAGCATCTCTGCGGGGGTGAGGGAGAGCAGGTGTGCGGAGCCCGAGAGATTTGGCTCTGCGGGAGATCCACGGGATAGGCTCCGGGAGACTCGATCTCTTGTTTCCCGTCGCTTATCTCTGAGTAACGCTTTTAAAAATACTAATAATGCAGGAGAAATTATGTATAAAACACAGTAATGGCTTGTGGGAAGAGTTAGTCATCGGTTGAAAAGTAACGTTTTGCAGTAATGTGACCTCTTATAAGGGAGAGAAACTTAAGAAGATGTTACTGCGTGTGTTTTAGAAATTGTAAAAGCTTTTCTCAGAAAGGTGGCATACTTTTGGTCTTTTAAAATGAACTTAAATGTTTAACTATAACATCATGTCTAGTTTGTAAATAGAATGAATGTAACTGGATTGGTCCATGCAGATCTGCTGAGCTCATCAGTGCTGTCAAATGGGCAGTGCGTGGGTTGTGTTTGTGTGTGTTCGTGCATATGTGCGCGTGTCCGTGTGCGTGTCAGTCTAACAAGAATGGTGCTGTTTTTCTAGGTCCTCAATACTGAGTGAAGTGTCTACCCGGTCAAGATCTAAATTGCCATCAGGCAAGAATATTCTTGTTTTTGGTAAGTAACATATGCAAGCAGTTGGGTGGTTGGGTTTTTTTTTTGTAGAAATAAAGCGTGTTTAAAACAATGGTGTGAATGAACTGACACATCAGTTTGTTAAAATTAGGTTATGTAATATGATCTACGGTATTATTGTCTTCAGGCTGATAGATTTACTTTCTTTTTGGTTTACGCTGTTAGATTTATAACATTTAAAGAAATAGGATGTAATGCAGAGTAATTGTTTCGTTCTTATTGTCATGGTATAAGCCTGGTATTTAGCTGGAATACTTGAAAGAAAACAACAAATAAGTATGGTCCAAAAATGTACAAAGATACTTCTGATTACTTAAGCGTGTTTTGAAAAATCTTTTCTACAAAGTTAAAATTAATTCTGAAAGTGTCTTTTTTCCCTGTAAAAACTTACTGGCAGGTGATGATGGTTCAGGTAAAACCACACTTATGACTAAAATACAGGGAGCAGAGCATGGCAAGAAAGGAAGAGGGCTGGAATACTTGTATCTAAATATTCACGATGAAGACAGAGATGGTAAGTTCATGTTATATGTAATCTCTTTACTGTAATTAAGTAGCTGACATGGGTTTTTTATAACGGAGGTTATCATCGGTGTATTTTGGGTTTCGCCCAAGTGGCTGGTTCCAGCATTGTTCTGTATGTTTTAGAAGCTATATCAATTTCTTAAAAGTGAAATGCATTTTACATGCAGTGTACATTCTCCCTCTTGCCCTTCTTCACAGCTTGACCTGTGTATGAGGAAAAAGTACGCTTGAGCAGCTCTCAGGATGCATTTACTTTTAGAGTAGATATATTTGCTGATGTTGATTTACTAGCAGATCTATTGTTGTTTGGTATGACTACTTGATAACTATAGAAAGTAAGCAATACATCCATGAGAATTTAATTTTCAGTATTGATTTCTGGTCTTGGTGTTTTCTTGTGGGGGCTGCGTGTGGAATTTTGGTTAACTCTAACTGAGATGTTTTGATAGAGTTGAATGAGTGAAGAACAGAACTTAAGGTCAGAATTAGTATTTCCTTTTCTCAAATTGAAACTTGTCTCTTTGCCCCTTGTCTTTCTCTTTGTTGCTGTGATGACTGCTCTTCTCTACTGTGTGGGAGGGGGATGACGACAAGAGACGGTTTAAAAGCAGGTCTAATGATCAGAATACTCCCATTTTCAGGAAGGTTAGGGACAGGAAGAGATGGGGAGTGAGTTTGTTATCCTTGCTCCTAAACGTGC